ATTAATACCAATTATGTTATACCAGTGGTCGAGATATATTTTAATGAAATGAACGGTTGACAGAAAAATACAGATATATACACACAACCGAAATGACTTAAAAAAAACCTTCCGATCATGGAAAACCTTCCTTCGCATCTCCTCGACGAGATTCTCTTCAGATTAAATCTCAAATCTCTGGCGATGATGCGTTGCACGAATAGATCAATCAGGTCGCATATATTCGACGACCCGACTTTCGAAATCCGATACTTTTCTCGGGTCGGATCCAGTTTGCTTCACATCTCCAAATATGACTCCACGTTACTCTGCTTCCACCCATTTGGCAGTTCTAGGTCGTTCATAAATAGAGATCCCTTAGACCTCGACTTTAAGATCCTCCGTTCTTGGTCCGGCCTTCTTCTACTCCTCGTCAATGGTCTCTTCTGCGTCGCAAATCCCCTCACAACAAGTTTCGATTCCTCGATCATCACTTATCCGATGATCCATCGTATAAAACAACGAGCACCGCTTTCGCGGTTGATCAGATCGATCGAACCACTCAAAGATTCATCATCGTATGCGTGATCAAGCTCGTCTCGTTGTCATACATAAGGACGTATCGATTCAAGATCAACGCAGGAGATTCATGGAGATTATCGAAAACAAGGATTCCTTGCAGCGCAAGCGAGTTCATGAAACCTGTTTACTTGGACGGAACTTTTCACTGGCTGAAAGAAGACGGAAGAAGCATCATAGCTTTCAATCACGAAACAGAGCAAGCACGGCGGATTCCGATCAAGTTTCATCGGAAACGGGATACGAAACTCTTGCTCGGGGCCTCCGATGACCACCAACTAACATTGATATCGGCGAGGGAGGAAGAAGCGATTTCTGTTTTTGCCCTAGAGAATAATAGTCTCACCGATCCTAAATGGATCCTCGTAAGGCTGATCGAATTCGAGGCCGTGCAACAAAGTAAACAGTTGTACTGGAACGTGGAGGTTTTCGACGGCAAGTGTTTACTAGTGAGGACGATGAAGGACCAAGACAATGACACATTGGTTCATGGCTACGATTTGAGAGCGAACAAGTGGGAAGTCGTGGGTTTGATTCCAGGGTGGTGCGATGCGAATCGAGACTTTTATCAGTTTAAGCCGTCATGATCTTCTACCATAGGACTAGAGGATCAAGAAGAGGAGACAGATGGGTCCAAGCTTAAGTCCAAACCTGATCGGTTCTCAGTAGCTAAATCCGAAGGCGTTTCCTCTGTAAAAGGTATTATGGCACTAGTAAAACTTCATTTGCGAATCTAAATCAGTTACTTTACACAAATAATGACCTTTTTCTGTTTATCTTTTGGCTGTAATCAAATACTATGTTTAATGAGAAAATAAGCATTATTTCCTCCACAAACATTTGCCCTTTAAATCTAAGGCCGATCAAATGATTCCATTTTTCAAGGTACGATGATATAAACAAACAAATCAAATAGCTTAAAGCACACGCAAACAAGAATCGAAATTTACAAATATATACCCAGAACAAAAACTGGATGCTATTAACAAGTAATCCCCTCAAAAACCACAAAAGTTTTCAAATCGCTAAAAACTCTCACTGGTGGACAGATTAAAAGCCCTATGCCATGTTTGGGAATATACCTGAGAAGTTAGGGATTTTATCAATGTGTCTCAACGCCTTCTCAGCGTCTTGCCGTGTTCTATAATCAGCGTTTTGAAAGGCGTCTACAAGCGCAGCGCTGCAGTTCGGTTCTTCCGCGACCTCTCTTGCTATCTCTTCTATCCGCAAGATCCTTTCCACCACCCAAACCGCTCTCCTTCTCAGCCTCTCATTTCGGTTCTCAATCAGAACGTTTAGTATATGCCGTATCCCTTCCGCCTCATCAATTATCTTGACCCCTTTCTCCACATCTAACCCGTCTTCTAATAAGCTCGAAAGAGCTGCAAGCGCGGCCTCCACCACTTTCACATTTTCATGGTCCAACAGAGCCACTAATTTCTCCACGGCTTGTCCTTCGACGAGGCAAAATGTTTCTCTTAATGAACATATTCCCTGGTGGATCTTGCACAGCCCGGTTACGACGTGCGGTTTGCTCATACATGAAAAGATGGAGCCACAGTAGTTCGGTGGAGGCAGATCGGGGATCCGTGTCAGGTTTTTAGACTCTAGTGAAAGATTCTCTAGAGCCATGGCAGAAACCATCTGGATGTTATCTTGACCGTTGGATTGAAGCAGATGAATGAAGAGCGAAGCAACATTGTACTCACAGCAGAAGGTAATGGCCCGAGTCTCCTTGTTGAATGCAAAGGTAATCCTAGCAAGTATACGCACAAGTCCTTCAAGAAAAGTTCTCTCAAACCGTTGGCGGATTCCCTTGATTTCCCCTTGGCGGATTCCAATCACTTTGGAGATGATTTTTTCAAAAGCACCTACTCCAAACAATTCCTGAGTAAGACCCAAGTCTCTCTCTGGCAATTCAGCAAGAAGCCCAGCAGCTGCAGCCTGTTCTTCAGTGATTGGTGTCTTCTCTGATATGATTGCAACAAGGCTTCCTAGTTGTCCAACAGTGCCACGTAAGGCAGTGGCTAGTTCTTCACTCAAGAGTGGGGAAAGGTTATGTAGTAGCTTTATGGAAGCCAAACGCAAATCATCATTTTCTCGAACCTCTACGAACTGAACCAAACTGATGATTGCACCGGAGGTTTTAATTGCAGACACGACATTTACAACTGTTTTCGGGCAACTGGTGAGTCCAACAAGCACCTCCAACAGCTTGCACTGGATTGATGGACCCGTGTTACTAATTAGATAGAGAAGATTCTCCACTATGTCTTCTGAAAGAAGAGTTTGGTGAGCCGCTCCAACAGAGACTTTGTCAAAGTCATAGCCAATGTTCACTATGTTAGCAAGAATAGTCGCAGAGACTTCTTTCAACCGAATTGGAAGTTGGTTTGGCCCAACATAAAACAGATCTTTGATAAGTGGGGAGAGAATTCCTATGTTGATTAAGACCTTAGCACTCCCTTCGAACGATGAGATTTTGTTAAGAGCCCCCAGGGCAGCTTCCCGTTGTGGCATGTCACCACTTCTCATAAGATCAACAAGAGCAGAACCCACAGTCTGAGCCACAAGAACCTTCACATCGTTATTTAAGGGAAGCTCCCCAAGAAAGGAAGCCATAGAGAGTTTTGTCTCAGGTGAACCTGCAGATCATGTTTCACAGGTGGTGTCATGATTCATGCACGAAATTCGGCAGATAACAGAGCAAACTGTATAAAGATTTGACCATCTGGGTAGAAGAAAACTGACGCAAGCAAACATGTAAAACTCGTAGAGCAGAACAAATTATAAGGCAGAATAACAAACACCATATGCATCTGAACAACTGAAGGAAGATCATAACAATGTTTTGTGAAAACCAAGCAATGAAAAACAATTTCTAACCGGTAAAGAAAGTAGGGATTAATCACCTTCAAGGAGTTTGCTTAGAAGAGGCTGGAGTCTACCATAGGAAGCCATCTGCCTAACAATTTCTTCTGACCTCTCCATGTTTTCCAATGTTCTATCAGCTTTCTCGACTATTGAGACATTTACAGAATTGCTGCTTGTCAGACCAACCAATAAAATAAGTGCTCCATTTATCGAACCAATCTTCTCGCACAAAGCTTCTGATTTGGAGAGCTCAAGCAACAAGGAAACAGCTGCCTCCCCCCCCTTTGATGGCTCCTGTGATAAGAACTTCACTAGCGTACGCACAGTGTCCCCTTCAGCTAGTATTGCCTGCAAGATGCTGACACGTTAATTAGCATCCGCTTGAACTCTCCATTACAATGCAATAGTAGAGTTAAATAGAAGAAATCAGAGACAACCTTGCTCTCGTCATCTCCTTCAACAACAACTTGAAGAGTTTGCAAAGCCTTATACCGCACTCTATGGCTAGTACTTTTTAACATGTCGACGACCATACGAATAAGCTGAGTGTTGCGCATGCCATGCCTGCTTGATCGGATGTTCCTGCAAATTTGGCGAACATGCATCAAAGCTTGCAAAATATCTTCCTCAGCATTTCCTAAAAACAGCGCCTGACGAGCAATGTCAAGCTTCGCAGCATCATTCCTGGATCTCCACTCTTCGATCGTGTTACGAAGAGCTATACTGGGGGATACATCAGCGCTACTCAGCTCCTGAGAAGTTATAGGGCAAGACAGAGGTTTCCCACTGTCCCGACATTCCTTGAACCATTTTTCAATGGCTTCACGCTCGAATGTTCGCCCATTCTCCAAAGTAACAGGATCATGCATAACCTCCTTCGTCAACGGGCAGATGAATGCTTCGTAGATATGATCTACTCCTCGCTCGAAATGAGAGCTATCATCTGACTGGCTTCCATCCCAGCTTCCTGCCATCTTAACCCTCTACACTCACTGCAATAAAGCAAATATCTCTGAAACTGACCTTACAAGAATCATTCGGGGGACTCATCAAATCAAACTAGAATCAAGAAATTGATGTAAGAGTTTTGGAAAGGCCACTTCGAATCAAGCAAAAGACAAAAGGAGACATAATACCAGATTTAGCTAATTTCCTTGATTATTTCATAGCAAAGGAAACAAAACTAAGAAATTCAATCAAAATCATCATTCCCATAAACCCCAATATAGCAAGATTACCAAATTTAGCGAAGACTTTGGGAAGAAAAAAACTCTCAAGGAAGCAAGAGAGAAAGGGGAAAACACACACACCAACAAGTTCCGATTGCAGAAGCGCCTCAAAAGCTACAGAGAAGGAATGAACAATAATACAAAACCCTAGTTTCTTGTTCTAAGTTTGACAAGTCGAAAATGACCACTTGTTAATAATCTCCTTGAGCAAAAAACGCGACAGAAAGTGTGACTTCTTCGTCGTCCATGGATCGAAGAGAAAGCAATCGAGCGTGCTTCAAAGTCTCTTTTTTTCTCGAGGTTGAATTGAACAGAGTTTGTTTTATCTCTCCGT